CCCCCCCGTTCCCCATTTGCAACAAGGTGCGGGGGAGGGACCGGAGACGGGGCTGCAAGGAGGGTCGCCTTCCAGCAGCCCCCCAACCTCCAGCCGTTTGCAAAGCCGGTGAGGGGGGTCCTTTTGTCCCTAACGGGAGTGGTGGAAGAGTCCGCAGCCTGGTGGTGCCTCCCCCCCCGCCCCCCCGGCGTGGGGATTTAGCTTTGCGTGGGGCCAGCTCCGCGGACCAGCTAGCCTGACTTGTCCTAAATAAAGCAGCGTTTTCCCCCTTTGCAATTTGAAGGTGGGTGCGTTGCAAGTCCCAGAATTCCCCGGCGAGCATGCATAACTATCAATCAGAGGTCTCCAAACTTGGCCCCTTTAAGACTTGTGGACTTCAACTCCCAGAATTCCCCAGCCAGCTTTACGGGCTGGAGAATGCTGGGAGTCGAAGTGCACAAGTCTTAAAAGTCGCCAAGTTTGGGGACCCCTGGCTATAAATGGACTTGAATTCCCCGGCCGTCATGTTTTAAGGGGTGTGGATTTTTGGACTCCCAGAATTCCCTGAATAGCAAGCTTCAAGGGGTTGCGGACTTCACTATAGACTAGTCTATATTGGAAGTCCACACATCTTAAAGCATACTGGCTGGGGGATTCTGGGAATGAAAGTCCATTTTTAGTAATGCATGGTAGCATGGGGAAATTCTGGCAGTTGCAATCCATCCTTCTTAAAATTGCAAAGGCGGAAAACCCTGCTTTAGGGGAAGAACAGAAAATAGAATAGAGAATAAAATAGAAAATAGAATAGAAAATAGAATTGAATACAGTAGAATAATAAGAGTTGGAAGGGGCCTGCTCAGACAGGAAACCTTAGACCAGTGATTGTGAACCTTTTCTGCGCCACGTGCCCAAACCGAAAGGGGCGTGCATGGCCGGAGTGCCAGAAACCCAAAGATGGTGCATGCATGCCTTTTTTTTTTGCCTGTTTTTTACTGTTTTCAGGCTGTTTTGGGGGCTGTTCTTAGGCCCTTTTGGGGGCTATTTTTGGGTGCTCTAGCACCCACAAAGACCACCTCTGTGCATGCCACAGGTTTGCCATCACGACCCTCGACCATTTCATACAAATGATTGTCCAATCTCTTCTTCCAAACTTCCAGCATTAGAGCATTCACAAGTTCTAGAGGCAAGTTGTTCCACTGATTAATTGTTCTGACATTTCCACAATTCCCAAGCCAGCATCCTTTAAGATTCGTAAACTTCAACTCCCAGAATTCCCTCGCCAGCATGCTTTAAAGAAGTTGAAGTCCACCACTATTAAAGTCTGCTGGCTGGGGAATTCTGGGAGATGAAGTCCACCCATTTTAAAAAGCATCTGGCTGGGGGATTCTGGGAATTGAAGTCCACCCATCTTAAAGCATCTGGCTGAGGGATTCTGGGAATTAAAGTCCACCCATCTTAAAGCATCTGGCTGGGGAATTCTGGGGATTGA